CAGGTTTTAGTATCTGAAGGGGAAAGGCAGGGCCACAGCAGCAGTCAGTGAGCAGGTACACTCACACTGAGAGATCACCAATTCCAACAGCCCGAGAGGCGAGCAGACAGTTTGTAAAAACTAACCCTCATCTGAACAGATTTCTGGCATTCAGACAACTAATTATAAAAGCCATGTTCAGTATTCTCAGAAGTAAGCGATGCCTTCTTTGTGAGTTCACCTCTGAAGAGTTTTTTTGTTCTTCTTGTTTTTCCAACAGAGGGACAGGAAAACGTACGATCGGAAAGTGGACATCTTTGCTCTGGGGTTGATTTATTTTGAACTCCTTTGGAGCTTCTCCACCGGACACGAAAGGAAAGAGGTGAGTCATGATGAAGACCACATAGAACCAAGACTGAGGCAAGACCACACAGTATCAAGACTGAGGCAAGACCACACAGTATCAAGACTGAGGCAAGACCACACAGTATCAAGACTGAGGCCAGACCACACAGTATCAAGACTGAGACAAGACCACACAGTATCAAGACTGAGACAAGACCACACAGTATCAAGACTGAGGCAAGACCACACAGTATCAAGACTGAGGCAAGACCACACAGTATCAAGACTGAGGCAAGACCACACAGTATCAAGACTGAGACAAGACCACACAGTATCAAGACTGAGGCAAGACCACACAGTATCAAGACTGAGACAAGACCACACAGTATCAAGACTGAGGCAAGACCACACAGTATCAAGACTGAGACAAGACCACACAGTATCAAGACTGAGACAAGACCACACAGTATCAAGACTGAGACAAGACCACACAGTATCAAGACTGAGACAAGACCACACAGTATCAAGACTGAGACAAGACCACACAAGACCACACAGTATCAAGACTGAGACAAGACCACACAGTATCAAGACTGAGACAAGACCACACAGTATCAAGACTGAGACAAGACCACACAAGACCACACAGTATCAAGACTGAGGCAAGACCACACAGTATCAAGACTGAGACAAGACCACACAGTATCAAGACTGAGACAAGGATTTGAGCAATAAAGAGAAACATGGCGGCCATGTGAATACGGTGAATTACAATGTTCTTCTTTTTTTGTTCTGCATGTTTTCCAGGTTTGGGAAGACGTCAGAAACCAGAAACCTCCTCAAGGATTCTCATACAAATTCCCCCTCGAGGTACACCTTTTGATTGACACTTCATTTGACCAATCAGTATCTTCCATTAACTGTTCCTAAGCTGCTGTAGCCAATGAGAGGCAGAGGCAGCGTTGCTTTGATAAACACTTTGGCAGGCGCGTAGCCACATTACTGTGAAACGATTTTGTGGAGGTCACAGTTAAAGTTCTTCTTGTTTCTCGTTGCAGAGCCAGGTAATAAAGTCGATGCTGTGTGTGAAACCAGAGGAGCGACCTGAAGCGAGTTGTCTGAAGAGTGACCTGGAGGAGTGTTCTCGTATACTGACAGCCCTTAAAGAATCTCGTTGTGACAATAAGACGTTCTGATGATGATGTGTCTTCAAACTACAGATGGGGGTCGATCCCAACCATTACAGCATGTCCTAACAGCACGCGACGCGAGTGAGCGTCAGCGACAAAATCAGCTTCATTCTATTGTTTCCTATTGGAGTGTCCTAACCGCGTTTCACCCCCGACTCCCCGTTTCTGTTTTCCTCTCTGTCGCTGACGTAGGGAGGAGGGGGCTCTACAACGCTCTGACTCTCTCCTCCCTCAGCACAGCTTGTTAGCTTGTTAGCCCGTTTTACAAAGCGGGGATAGTGGAGCATTAATAATATCCACATCATGATTTAAATGTTGACCTTTGACCTGTGTCAACACCAGAGACGATCTTTATTCAGCTGACCGCGAGACGTTTACTGACAAGCCTCTGAGTGTTGAGATTTGAGTCGACAACTCGTCAATACAAAGCACACTTCAGTTTGTCCACCTTCAAAATAAAAGCACCTCACTTTGACAGAGTGTGTGATCGTGCGCAATGCGACATCCAACGCTCGCGTGCTGTCAAGACACGGTGTCATGTGACTGCAGTGATTTGAGCTGACTGCGATCATTTAGAACTTTTTGAAGACGCCAAAGTTGATGAAAAACAAACAAAAATACCGTCTTTCTATCATGAGCTTTGCCCCTTCAGGTTAGACTGGGGCGTCTTTAAAGACCCCGTCATTTTTAGCCTTATACCTTATTGAAAAATTTGCACCGCAACTTACGATGCACTTATTCTGTTTCTATTATCGCTGTCAGGAACGAAACGTGGCCTCTAGGAACCATCTTACAAAGGTTTTTTTTTCAGGTCATGTGACTCTGTTTGATGTTTCCTCGAACAGAAGACGATGGCAGAGAGGTTCAGACTATTGGGTCTACTTTAAAAAAGCAGGTGAACAAACTCTGAGTGTAATCCTGGACTCAGACTTTGAGTTTCCGTCTCAGGGTCTTTGTTCTTAAAAAGGCAGCACTAATAGTGCTCAGATAATACCTCTCTTCTGGCAATGGAAAACAACAACAGAGCCTTAAGTTGAAAAATGTACGCGTGCAAAGCAACAGATAACATCTTTTGAACATATTAAAGAGTTATTAGTTATCCAGCAGACATCGGGGCGGTTTGCAGTGTCAACACCTCCAAGTCAGAGGCCATGGATCTTATTACTCCCTCCGGGTGAGGAATGAGGAGCTAAGACATTCAGGGGGAGGAGCTCGCAGTAGAGCCGCTACTCCAGTTGAGGTGGTTCAGGCATCTAATCAGGATCTCCTGGTCACCTCCCTTTGGAGGTTTTCTGGGCACGCCCAACTGGAAGGAGACCCGGGGTAGACCCAGAGTTCACCGAAGGGATTAAATATCCCATCTGGCCTGGGAACGCCTCGGGATCTTCCAGGAGGAGCTGGAAAATGTTGCTTGGGAGAGGGACGTCTGGGTTGACCTGATTAGTCTGCTGCCATCGCGACCCGACCTCGGATAAGAGGACGTAAATTGAGTGATGGATGGCTAACAAAGTTAACACATTTTTTAGCATCATCCAGTCATTTAACGTTCACCTAACTTTGATTCCCTAGTTGGTAATTAAAGTTCTCGAATCCTATCATACTTTTAGGTTTCAGATGTATTGATTCAGCTGTAACGCCGCGTCGGAAACAAACTGGAAGCAACGATGAGCAAAAATATGAACAGAGTTAGTAAAGTTTTGACCTGTGAATATGACCTGTCTGAACCACTAAAACCATCAGAGGGAATACCAGTTTAAAAGAAGACAAGTAACGTATATAGGTTTTTTAATTGGTGTAAGAACAACTTCTTACATTTCATCTGTTGAAAACAAAACCCAGCGTTCTCCTACTTTAGGTAAGAGGTCACACATTCCAGAGAAAAAGACCCAGACAGAGTGATGGAGATCTTTTCTCAACCTTTAAGTATAACCTGCGCTGGTTTAGAGCATTGGTTGTGCACGTCCTCAGAAATTAACACTACGCAAGATTCAATATGCATATAACTACCTGCTCTATGATGCGTCATTGCTGTTGCCTAGCAACAAACAAGCATACCAAGTATACATTTACATTCACGATGCAGTAGGTTGTCTACGCGTACGTGTGGCTCAAAGTGTATATTTGAGACTTACTGGGTTTCTTAACATCCTGATTGGATGCATTGTGCTGCTAATCACACAGCTACTCACCAGAGATGTGTGCGCTCAGTCGAATTAACGGTTAACGACATCACTCTCGCTAACTCGACAGAGTTACAAGTCAGTTAAACGACTCCTTAATATTTTAGATGTTGGCTTTTCAAATGTAGTTAAACTGCAATGCAGACACTCACCACTAGCTGGTGCTGTCGCCATGGACGGGCTGTCTCTCCGGTTAATGTGCCCGCTCTCCTCGCTCAAGTACCAGGATGTAAACAAGCACAGTGAACAGATCTCGTTGGAGCAGAGCGGAAAAAAGAGCATCAAATGAACGTAGGCTAAACGGGAGCGATGTGTGACCACATTCAGCCCCAACATGTGGACGCTAACCTGCAGGGAGGCCTGAAGGCTGGCGGTGTTAGCATTGCTAATGTTAGCAACACTGGCTAAACCAAATTACCTTGTTAACCAGGAAATCAATTCTAGATGATTTGTGGTCACATCTCCTGGCAACGGAAATTATGTGGTAATATACGTCAGCGTATTTTTCGTCTCGTGATCTCAGATTTTTCCTCTTTGAGACGGCCCTGGTAGTCCGTCACGTTACGATCATTTGGAAGTGTGAAGAATAAAATGAATGAATTATGGGTAATTATCATGACTGTTTGTTTAATCGTGTTCTAACGTACGTGAAGCCTTTAATCATGACTGAGGACACATTTTATGTCCTGAGGGTTTTCATCGTGTGCTGGTCTTGAGATATTTGATTCTGATTGGTTAATGTGTTTACAGTGATGTCAAATCACAACCTTTGTTTTTAATAAAGAGGCTGAACTGGGCTGTGACTGTCTGTTTTGTTTTGAAGCATTTGTTGTGAATTAAAGAATCTGACCTCTGAGTTCTTACGGTTTAAAAACATGGACTGTCTGAAATCACACGCTACCCTCTACACGGGGATCACCACCACCACCAGGGTCTAGACTCCATCAGGAGGTGTCACCACCACCACCAGGGTCTAGACTCCATCAGGGGGGTGTCACCACCACCACCAGGGTCTAGACTCCATCAGGAGGTGTCACCACCACCACCAGGGTCTAGACTCCATCAGGGGGGGTGTCACCACCACCACCAGGGTCTAGACTCCATCATGGGGGGTGTCACCACCACCACCAGGGTCTAGACTCCATCAGGGGGGTGTCACCACCACCACCAGGGTCTAGACTCCATCAGGGGGGGTGTCACCACCACCACCAGGGTCTAGACTCCATCAGGGGGGGTATCACCACCACCACCAGGGTCTAGACTCCATCAGGGGGGGTCACCACCACCACCAGGGTCTAGACTCCATCAGGGGGTGTCACCACCACCACCAGGGTCTAGACTCCATCGGGGGGGGGGGGTCACCACCACCACCAGGGTCTAGACTCCATCATGGGGTGTCACCACCACCACCAGGGTCTAGACTCCATCGGGGGGGGGGGGGTCACCACCACCACCAGGGTCTAGACTCCATCATGGGGTGTCACCACCACCACCAGGGTCTAGACTCCATCAGAGGGGGTGTCACCACCACCACCAGGGTCTAGACTCCATCAGGGGGTATCACCACCACCACCACCAGGGTCTAGACTCCATCAGGGGGGGTGTCACCACCACCACCAGGGTCTAGACTCCATCAGGGGGGGTGTCACCACCACCAGGATCACGTTGGACTCCAGGGTCTCCGTAGAATCATAAAATCCAGATGTTGATCTTTTTAATTCCTGAGTCTAACAAAATGATCTGATCGCTGAAAAGAGCTCAACGTCCCACCACAGCTGCACAGTCTCACATAAAATAAAACTTCACTATGAATGACTGACAGTCAGCTTTTTAAAAAAATGATAAAGACTGATGCAGAAAAAGCTTGAAGTCCGGTGGTGCTACAAAAAGAGTCTTTTGGGAGCCACAACACAAGATCCAGTTCTTACGGCTGATCTGGACCAAAAGAACGGATCATTTTAAAGAGCCTAAATTCCCATGTCAGGAGGTAGTTTCAGTTTCAATTATCCATTGTATTGAAACTCTGTGACGTTGCATGATTCACGTTTATCTGAAATCGAAACTCAAGGCTGAAAAAGGAGAAGAAAGGAGACAGAGTCCGGACTGACAGGAGGAGCAGAGAGGAGCCAAAGAATCCTTCAACTTTCTTTATCTCACTTTTTTAAACATTTTCATCTGTTACCATGGACTCTGGAAACCACGTTGCCAGTCTGAACGAGTACGCGCAGAGGAGACGATTGAGTCTCGGTTATAACTTCCTCGGTTCTGATGGTCCGGACCACAACAAAACGTGAGTTGAATTCACCTGATTGTAAACCTCTGGATTCTAGGCTGGACTCTGGATTCTAGGCTGGACTCTGTCTGACATGACTTCATTGTGAATCAAATGAAAAAGGTTTTAAAGATAGTTTTGGGTGTTTCCTGTTTGTGAAATCTTTATTTGTGTAAAAACTAAAGTTTAAAATGTGATTTAAAAAATGATATATTTATACGTAAAAATTCTGCCATAAGTGTCACAGGGTCTGCTAAAAACTCACCTGAACACTGCTCTAGATTTAGTGAGTGAATAGAGGGCACAACATGGAGAGTTACTACCTCCTAGTGGCTAAATGTGGTAGTGTGCAGATGTATCTTATTTAAAGGGGACATATGAAAAATCCTCTTCTACAGTGTTTCTGAACATATATCTGTGTAACCTGAGAGTCTACTGACCCACAACATGTGAAATAAACCCATCCAGTCCTTTATTTGTGGTCTGCATAAGTCTTACAACACAGAGAAAAATGCTCTGATGCAAATGTGCTCTCCTTGTGATGTCACAGTGGGATTCTGGTTAAAAATAAAACCCTCCCCTTCCCTGGTATCTCCACCCATAGACTCCACCCCCAGTCTAGAACTAAACTTTTGAGCAGGTCCACCATTTTCATTCTCTCTACAGAGGAGTGATGTCTACGGGGAAAACTCAGGGGGCGGGGTCATTACATTTAAAGAGACACACACACCAAAACGGAGCGTTCTGAGAGAGCTGGTTTATACAGGGTCACAAACCTCCTCTGGTGTTTGATTCATGTTATATTTTGACCAAAGCACAGCACAGATGTTTCATTTAGACCACAGAGGGACTGTTTGAAAAGGTGGAGGAGGACTGTTTGAAAAGGTGGAGGAGGACTGTTTGAAAAGATGGAGGAGGGGACTGTTTGAAAAGGTGGAGGAGGACACTGTTTGAAAAGGTGGAGGAGGGGACTGTTTGAAAAGGTGGAGGAGGAGGACTGTTTGAAAAGATGGAGGAGGACTGTTTGAAAAGGTGGAGGAGGGGGCTGTTTGAAAAGGTGGAGGAGGAGGACTGTTTGAAAAGATGGAGGAGGGGACTGTTTGAAAAGATGGAGGAGGGGACTGTTTGAAAAGGTGGAGGAGGAGGACTGTTTGAAAAGATGGAGGAGGGGACTGTTTGAAAAGGTGGAGGAGGAGGACTGTTTGAAAAGATGGAGGAGGGGACTGTTTGAAAAGATGGAGGAGGGGACTGTTTGAAAAGATGGAGGAGGACTGTTTGAAAAGATGGAGGAGGAGGACTGTTTGAAAAGATGGAGGAGGGGACTGTTTGAAAAGGTGGAGGAGGACTGTTTGAAAAGGTGGAGGAGGGGACTGTTTGAAAAGGTGGAGGAGGAGGACTGTTTGAAAAGATGGAGGAGGACTGTTTGAAAAGGTGGAGGAGGACTGTTTGAAAAGGTGGAGGAGGACTGTTTGAAAAGGTGGAGGAGGGCTGTTTGAAAAGGTGGAGGAGGGGACTGTTTGAAAAGATGGAGGAGGGGACTGTTTGAAAAGGTGGAGGAGGGGACTGTTTGAAAAGGTGGAGGAGGGGACTGTTTGAAAAGGTGGAGGAGGGAGATGATATGTCCTCTTTAAAAGCTGCAGGTGTGACACCCTTTGTACTCTTTCTCTACAGATTCACCATGAGGGCAGTCATAGACGGTAACCTTTATCCCAACGGTGTGGGGAAGACGAAGAAGGACGCCAAACAAGACGCTGCTAAAAACGCCCTGACACATTTGTTGGAGATTGGAAACCAGGCTCCTGTTGAACCTGTAAGACTCTTCTTTGCTTACTTAGATATTTTTAGCTCAAACTAAAAAGCTTGTTATAAAAAGCGGCTTAACACTCTGTCTTGAGTTTCACGTCATGATCTCTGTGTGTTTTTTATGATTACTGTCTCGGTGGTGTAACTTTCCCGTTTATCATAGTAGCACTGTGTCTGTGCTTTGAGGCTCCTTCTGATTTTGTCATGTAAAGCACCTTGAGCTGCACTCTTCATATGAATCAGAATCAGAATCATTGTTCAGGTGGTCTCTATGTACAGATATTAAATATTATAGTTGAATAATTTCAGTGATCTTTAAATGTTCTATTTGAATGTTTCTTTTCTTTCCTCTGTCATGATACTTTTCACATCTTGTGTGAAGCACTTTGAATTGCCTTGTTGTTGAAAACTTGAGCTTATAAAGCACTTTTCTAGTCTTCTGACCAGTCAAAGTGCTTTTACACCGCCTGTCACACCCACCCATTCACACCCTTTTACACACTGATGGTAGTGATCGCTATGTAGTATCATCAGAAGTAACTCATCCCATTCATACACCGCCACTGAAGCAGTGGGAGCAATTCAGGGTTAAGTGTCTTGCCCAAGGACACAACGGACATGTTGCTCAGCTGGGGATCGAACCCAACACAACAACTCTACTAACTGAGCCACAGCCGCCCTAAGTAACATCTACAAGCTGATAGAAGAGAATCAAGCAGTGGTGAACGTATCATGTCATGGCCTCGTCTTTTCATTTTGGTTTCTTGCAGAGTGTAAACGCAGCAGAAGCTTCGGCTGCAGCAGCTCATCAGACGCCTCCCAGAAGCATCAACTACATCTGCTGGCTGAATGAATACGGGCAGAAGAACAGGGTGGATGTACGCGCCGTGGAGTCGGCAGGAGTGGGAGCTAACCAGTGAGTCTCTGAACTGCATCTTTCAGCTTCTTCGAGGTGTCGAGTCGCCATTTTGAATTGAATCAAATGATGCTTTGTGATGTCAGATGCTGTCACTACGTGGTGGATGATAAGACGTATCCATCTGCCACTGGGGCGACAAAAAGGGAAGCCAAAGAGAGAGCAGCCAAGCTTGCACATGATGAGATATGTCGCAGTGAAAATACACAGGTGAGTGATATCCACCAGTGAACGGGTTATAACTCAGACGGACACCAAACTGTTAAAACTGCAGATGAAGGTTTGAGAGATCCCCCCCTTAAAGGGACACTTCACCCGTTGAAACATGAATCTGTATTGACATTGGGTCATATATGTAGGAGAAATGTGAAATACATTTTTGTTTTGTTTCTCAGCTGCTGCGGCCAGCGGCCAAAACACAAGACCGGCCTGTCAGCAGCCGTCTCGCCGCTATATTTATATTTTTTCTCCATTATCATCTTTCTCCATAGAGCCTGTTAGCATAGCTTCAAAGCAATATGGCGGACATTAAGTTTGGATTCTGGGAGTGAGGTCCCACCCACTGATCTGTGATTGGTCTGTAGCTTCAGTGGTCAAAAATATGAGGAACTAGCGTTGTAGTTTCATCCCGCTAAACGCAACAGCTTCCAGTGACGCAAAAATCGTCATATTGCTTCACAGGAAGCTCCTTTACAGACTCAGAAATACAAAGATTTCACATCTCAGGGGAAAATGAGGGCGGGATGCACGACCACTCACAAATACTACCAGGTTTCTAATGATACAAAGTAATTAAGTATTAATGCAAAAAGTGAAGTATCCCTTTAAGGGTTCAAGTTTGAGGCGTTCCTGTGACACAGTTTTCATGAAGCTAGGATTTACCAGCTGGACCTTGTAAGTGTTAGTGTTTAGTAACCTCCTAAAAACGTAGGCTACTGAACGTTTTGGGGTTTCAATCTTTTCACTCCGACTTCACGCTTGTTCCTGCAAGCTCCCGCTCACAGCAGGAAATATGCTGGAACATACTGTGAGGGAGCGCATGGCGTTTATATACTGTGACCACGCAATGCAGTAGACTATCTGTGAATGCACGCTACCGCTACCATCTCCGTGCACGTAATTAACCTGCTGCATTATGTTTTCTATGGCGCCAATATTGTGGCAAAACTATTTGAAAATACACACAAAGATCCGCAAGTGTGTCAAAAGATCCACGAATGCGTGCACTAATCTGCAAATATGTAGACCTTTTGCGAAATGTTTATTTATTTAATAATGGCAGAAAAGTGTAAATCCTGAAAATAAACACAAATCATCGCTTACAGCCTCTCCATTGGCTGTCGTTTTACATGTGACTTTTGCAACCCTCCTGCCGTGCAAGATCCACAAAATGCGTACACATCTTCAAATGTGTGTGTGACGACCTGCAAACACGTGTTGGGGGTTTGTTGCCCTGAGCTCAGGCTCACAGGCTGCCGAGGAGCTTTTCATCTTACACCAGTCGGCGGTAGCGCTCAGTGAGTTCAAGACGATCATCACTGAGATGGAAAGCGGTCGTGGGTGAAGTGTTACAGAGGAGGCTACGATGGAGCGTCCATTGGCGGCTGTAAGTACAAGTTTGTGTTTTTGAAATCGGTTTTATTGTCGGCCTTAAAAAAAACACAACACGCTGTTTCTGTGAATAAGTTACGTTTGTTTGACAGTATGCGCCACGACAAGTGTCACAAGCAATGGAACCCAACGAATGTGCGAATAGAGCTGAAAATGTCGTTACAGTACCTAGCTTGAAGCTACAAGTTTAGCATTCTTCCAACGTCAACATGTGTGCGGCTGAAACCCGAGGCATGGCGCCAACGCGGCGTAACCTGAAACGTGTTGGTTTTTTTGGACAGTTTGAGGGAACTTGACATTGTTACAGGTGAACTTGTTACGACTAGACAACGTCGAGGCAGGATAGAAGGAGTTGAAATGTGGTCAAATAAAGAAAAATGGTCAAAATGACCACTTTGCTAGGATTTCGCCAGTGGGGGGGGGGGAACTGTGGAAACACCTGCTAGAAGTCTAAATATGCATTTATGGATCTGTCACACTCAAACGTGTTACAAACTTTCTCTCCTTCTCCAGCTGGAAACAGATTTTCTTTAAATGATCCGTGTTTCCTTTCTTCTGTGAAGGTGAATGCACGTCCCCGTGCTGCATTGACCTCCATGGCTTCCTGCCCAATCTGTAACCGACAGTATCCACGCCAACGGTTGGTGATTCATGCAAGTACGTGTGGAGAGAGGTAGGCGTCTAAAAATAACTTATTACAGATGTTAATATGAGTAACACAAATGGCTCAATTGTGACTTCTAAACCGGTTTTTATTTCACAGCATCTCTGATGTCCATGGTAATGCTCTTGCACCTCTTCCTCATCGCACATCAGCAGATCCATCAGAGGAAGGTGAGGTGTCTCTTTATTTGTCTCTCTTTTCCTTTCCTCTCATTCTTTCCCCTCTATGTGCAAAAGGCCACACTCTGTCCCTTCAGCATGCACCAATGCCTGCAACTAATATTATTCTCTATGTTTGATTTCTAGTCTAAAGAGGCTTATATGCTACATGCTAACATGTCCTTTGCTCTGTCAGACTGGAGGACCGTTGCAGATCCCAAAAGAGCTCTCTGGCTTTTTACTCAAGGGGTGCTGAGAAGTAAGAGGAGGGCTGAAGTGAACCGTTTCTCAGTGGACTTAAGAAAAGACCTGGAGGAGCAGGACATGTCCTATGTGAGCTTCTATAAGCGCAGCAATGTTGACTGGGCGTCACCACTGAAATGCATACTGGAAGGTACACTGTGGGCCTTTTTGGGTGTGTCAAGAGGAAATGATGTTTTTTTGGGACAAATATTATATATCTTACATATATTTTTGCTGTTTAAGACTTTAATGTGCTAAGTTTCCTCCATCTTTCCCGTAGGGGATGCTGCTATAGGAGAGGGTGTTAACCGACACGTTATGTCAACACTGATGCTGAAGTTGAGAACTGGATTCCACCTTAATCTCGGTGAGTGATCATTCCACATTCAGATTCTAGCATTTCAAATGAACAAGTTGTCATGGATTGGTCTACTTATGGACATCATTGTAGCATTATCATTTTAAGATGACAGAATAAGTACCGCTGTTTAAAATAATATCATAATAATAATAATAATTCTATATCTGTACTCATTGCACCAAAACTCCAAGTCAAATTCTTTAAGTGTGTAAACCTACTTAGAACCTGATTCTGATACCATGGATATATACTCTCTAATCAGGATATGGTGACATCACAAGGCTATTCGATGGACAGCAGGACCACCTGGTGCCTGCAAACTCTATTGTTATGCTGGACGACAAGCTCTTTCTGATGGCAGGGCGAATGATGGGGCATTGCTTCATGTATGGTGGTCCTGGTTTCCCTGGTGTCAGCCCAGCCATCACACATGTTCTGTGTGGTGGTTCCATTGACAGCGCCACAGTCGTGATTGAAGACTGTCCTGATTTGGACATCCGTGAAACAATACAGCTGGTAAGGTGCTTATGGCTGGAGGGCGCCATGTCTCTGCCTACTTCACCAATCTGATAGAATACTGTCACTTTCCCGGGGTTAGGGTTAGAGGGGTTAGGGTTAGAGGGGTTAGGGTTAGGGTTAGAGGTTACAAAATTGGCTTTTCAAAAAGTGTCCAACACTGTTTTATTTACATTTTTCTTTCTTTCTTTTTCCCACCTTCCTTACAATCTATCTGAAGATGACCGAAAATTCTGAACTCGAAGGTGAAGAGCGTGACAGCGTTGTCAGCCTTTGCATGGGGTGGGACCTTCCTCGTCCAACGCTGAATAACAGGAAGTGGCTTCATGACAAGCTGCTCTTGCATGCGGTAAAATTCACTCTGTTTGCTGTGTTAAAAGGTTAACTTTTAGTTTTACATACAGGGGCATCGAAACAGTTTAGAATATCATGAGAATGTTCTTTTTTTTCTGTCATTTTAATTTAAAGTGAAATACTGGAAGTCTTATTTCTTTAAGTCTTGATGATTGCTTTGATAGTGGCCTTCAGCGTGTCTGTATTGTTGGGTTTAACTTCTTGGAATGAAATAACAGAAAAAAAAGAACTTTTCCACAATATTCTGAATTGTTTAGATGCACTCGTAATGTCGTCATGCTGATAATATTGGCGTTTTTGTTCATCCAGACTTGTAACGCTGTTTTACGGGTTTACGCAGGTTATTGGGCGATCTGCTAGACAAGTGAAGCAGTTAAGAAAGGGACTCAAGGAGACGGGCATTTGGCCACTCCTCTCCAACAGAGCAGATGTGGTCAAGCTGCTCTTCCCTTGTGAGAAAGAAGCTGAGATCACACCTCAGGTAGATGAGATCTAACTACATATCATCAAGTACTGGACGTCAGTTAAACACTTCTGTGTGTATCAATTATCGACTTTAAGTTAATTTAAGATTCCTTTTTGAACACCTCATCCCCATGTTTTATTCCCAAGTATAAGAACGTCTTAAGACCGGTCTCTGTCTTTGCAGATGATTCTTTCACACATCAAATGGCCAACGAGGAATCCAGTTTCAACTCGGGTCACAGCTTACTTTCAGACTTTTATTGAACAAGGTGTGTTTTTTTTATATTGCCTGTCAGTTTACAGATGCCTTTTTACTTCTTTCCTTCCTCCCTTCCTTTCCTTAAGGACCATTTGAATGACTGAAAAGAGAGGACGTGTCTCACCAGTGTGTACTGTCTTGTCCACAGCCTCTTCAGAGCATCTGAAGGATCTGCTGCGGTTCTGGGTTGGTTGGGAGGTCCCACCCGAGGAACTGATCGTAGAGGTGGCAAACGGCCGTCTCCCAAGGGCCGCCACCTGCTTTTTGACCATCAAGTTGCCTGACCATCACACAACCTACGAAGACTTTGAGTCTCACATGGTCGCTGCCATCACTTCCTGCGACACGGGCTTTGGTCGTATTTAGATGCAAAATCAAGGAAAAAGTTGGACTCTGGTCCCTAATGGTTAATGTTTTATCATGAGGGCTCTCCTGAAAGGTTTTGGATTATATCAGGTCACGGTTTTAACCATTTACCATAACATCCAAGGTTCTGACTGTTGTAGCCTATAACATCCAAGGTTCTGACTGTTGTAGCCTACATTTACCTGACATTAGTCCCAAAGTTTGGATGTTTATTTCCCCTTGTACACATTACACAGTAACTGTGAGTAAATGGAACAAACACTTCAATAAAACCATCTATTGGCTGAGCAAGCTCTTGTTTCTGACATTAATTAAGTTTTACCTGTCAACATGACAAATAAAATATGTAATATTATCAACAGTTCTTTGTCATGCCTTCACACTCATATTACCAAGATGCAGTTTTTTTTTCACATTGCTTCATGGGTATCTTCTACTCGAGTAAAGTAACTGAATTCTTCCTCAACCATTGATGTCACCTTAACAGTTATTTGTTTCTTCTTTTTTTTAGATTTATTTTTTGACTTTTTGTGCCTTTATTTGAGAGACAGGAAGGTGGACAGAGTCGGAAATAAGAGAGAGAGAGAGAGAGAGAGTGGGGAATGACATGCAGGAGAGAACCCACAGGCCGGACCTGAACCCAACCTCCCGCCTTTTTAAGGACCCGTAAAAACTTCAAAATTCATAAGTTGGAGTATTACCGAACGTAGTTTATGTGGTCTAACAAAACACCAACATCTCTTAAACTTGTGTTAACCACAGACCTTATTTCAGGCGTCTAGGGGCGGCTGTTACTTATTTACTTCTGGGTTTTAGGACTCATTCCTGTGGTGCACTATGGACACTACGGCTATGTTCATAAAGCATGCCCTACTTATTAAATCTTGCTCTTAATTAACAGCATGTCTTACTACTGTAAGGACTTCACTGTAGGAAAAAGTCATATGGTTTGTGCATTATAAAGTGCCATAAGGAAAGCAGAGCCCAAAAGGTAGACATCAGTTGTTTCAAAAGGTAATGATGATTTGTGAAAGTCCAGAATCTTTTTCTTTACTGCCTATAATAAGATTTTTTTATGGCTGTTATATACATTAGGCGTTGCTGAATGAGGTAATCTTATCAGGCACTGGATATACAGTCTCATGCACTATCTATAAGAAGTAGGTAAACCCATCTTTGCTTAAGCTTAGTCAGACTTAAAATGCTTTTGAAGCTTCTTAATAGGATTCTAGCCGGGCATCTTCTTTTCTTTCATCAAAGATTTTTCTTTGGTTCCCAGAAATGTCCTTTTTCTTTCTCTTTCTCTTTGTCTTTGGGTGTGTTCTCAGAGAAAAGATAATTTCCACACACCGACAAGTATCAGCACATCTCCAACTGAGCTACCTCTGAATCAAAAGGTTCCTCTGAGTGCCCGTCACACAGAGACGCATCGCATTAGGCGTGGCCGCTCCAAAAAACGCCTGAGCGCATCTGGAGGGTAAATCCGCTGGGAACGCCTACGCGTGCACACGGGTAGTCAAAAAAAATAAGTGTGGAAAAATGGATTTGAGCAAACATAGAGCTCTCGTTGATGCTTTACTCCGAGACGAGGACGGGCTGAAATATCATAAACAGTGGAGGTAAAGCCCCCAAACACGTGTTGGGGGTTTGTTGCCCTGAGCTCAGGCTCAGAAAAACAAGGGTTCTGCGGGTCTCTGAGTGATCGGGTTCTAACAGGGACATTGGCCATTCAATAATTTTACCTTGCATTGTGTCACCTTTTGTCTCCATTTTAGACGCCTACCTCATCAACAGTGCCTAAAGATGATGGAGCATCACCCATGTTGTCTGCACGCTCAGCTGCACGGTAAGGCACATATTTCTTTAAGTAATCACAGCGCACAAAATAAATAAATACTAAAAGATCTGTCCTCGTCCTCACTCGTCTCGCCTCAGGACGTCCGATGAATCATCACCACAGAGCACATCAGGCAGCACCAGTGACTCGATCGTTTTCGCTCATTCATCAAACTCTTCCGGGGCTCAGGTGTGTTCTTTCAACATCTTAAATGTCCACACCTTTTTAAAAATGACTCATGATATTTAAAGAACCACAGCAGAGCAGCAGCAGCTTTTTAAAACCAAGACAGGAAAGTTTCAGGAAAGATGTGTAGAGAGGTAGATGATAAAGGTATCTTACTCTCTGATCATTAAGGAAACATGCTATGTTGAAGTGCTGGCTTCTCTGACAACAATGCAGCAGCCAGTATGTCCTCCTTCTAACTTTAGATTCTGCTCCTGAATGCTCTGGATTTGTTTGGACCAGAGAAGGTAGGCGCTTTTAAGACCCCCCCCCACACGGCCGTTTTGGACGCCCCTCGGTTTGCCAGATATGATAGCAGTTATCAGGTCAACAGGTGTTGCAGCGATGGAAGCGGTCAAGAGAAGTGGTTCAGATAGAAGTGATTGTACCCGACCTAAAAAGCCTCTGCATGTTTCTAATAAGCTCCACGAGCAGAAACGTGCTCAAACTAGGATCAATATTGGAGATGCTTTTGAAAAATGGAGAGAGGTTAGAACACAGAAAGGTTTACAGACCCATGCAGAGCTGGATAAACACTGAAGCTTCAGAGTCCACCACATGGTGACCTGAGTGAGCATCCACTCTACAGAGGAGGGGAGACAGCTCTCTATGGTGTTTAGAATTTAGACTGCAGTACTCATTTTAAACACTAGGGGTCAGAGTTACATACTGCTCCTTTAACTTTTTTTTTAATTGTAGATGTCCTTGGGTTTTTCTGAAGTTGGAGCATCGAGCAGGTATTCAACTAAACTTCAATCTGATGTATTGACTGGAGGATTGCAAAGATTGTAAAGCTCTATTCATTTCCTTTAATTATTATTTCTTCCTAGTGAATCTTATTCATCGTCACCAAGAATGCAGCGATACCCAAACAGCTCCGGAGTAGGCACTGCTTCCCCCAGCCCGTCTATGGAAGAGGTTTGTACTTCCTGTCCAATCTTAATATCTGTGTTTTAGTTCAGAGTAAAATCAACACTTTCATAATCAGCTTGTGTTCCATTCTGGTTTCAAAGCATTGAAACGGCACTTTGAAAGGTTTTTATTGACCTCTTATTGGCTGCTCAGTCTGATGATTGAGCCGCTCTTATGTCTTTATGTTTCACAGCCACTTTATCCACAGTAGACCCATGCAGAAAAAACCTGCAGTTCCTCAAGTGTCCACTTGAGGCTGGCTGCAAAAACAAAGGAATCCCCCACATGTTCAGGGGGGATTTTTTTTTTGATTGTTGTGTTTGTTAGCCAGGAGGCTTGAGGCTCATCGATGCTCGACGTCTACGTTCATTTCCGCCGTATTTATAGAAGCTCATGGATATGGACCAAACGTTGCAATACCACTGAAAATCGTGGGGGCAGTATCGAGCCGCGTGGACAACAGTTCAAGCAAGGCCAACAATACACAATGAAGAAGAATACTTGTGAAAATGTTTGAACTTTCTGATTACAGATTATGTGAGCTGGTTATGATCTGTAGATATAAATATGATGTTAGCTCGCCCGGGCGCCGACAACGACAACTCCTACATGTCAGGTCTGTGAGACAGCGCCCTCTATCCCAACATAAAGGACCCGTGGGAGTATATTAGTAGTGACAGTTATATCGTTTAAAACAAACGTCTCCATTTCCATAAAAAGGAAGCAAAAATGAGCCTTTAAAGTCCGCCTAAGCTCCGCCTCTTCGCCTGTTGGGCGGCTGTGGTTCAGTGGTAGTCGGACACCTCTCGACCGGAAGGTCGGGGGTCGAGGGCTCCTGCAGCCACATCTCTGCTGTGTCCTTTGGCAAGACACTTTACCCCCCAAAAAATAGAATTTTCTAACCGTGTTCTCTACTTCAGCTCTGCCGTGAAACAGACAGGTTGAAAGTTCAGACGGGTGACGGCCAATATGCCAAACGGCCGAGCCCACACCGACAGGTACCATCACACTGGCTTCTTCCCCCTTTTTCAAACAACTCAACACAGCAGGTTTCAAAACTGAATATATCTTCTTTATTCTCTAAGGACGTCAATCAGAAGAAAAAGAATGAGACGTTTCCCTCAAGAAGGTGAGAAAAACAACGTGTTAGATGTTTGCACTCTTCCATCTTTATTCTTTCCTCATATCATCTGAAATATTTTAATGTGCTTTACTTTTTACAGCTTTACCGCAGACTTTGATACCATCCAGGAAATTAGCAGTGGAGCTTATGGTTGTGTGTTCAAGGCCAGAGAAAAACTATTGGAAAAGGATTTTGCTGTGAAGATCGTCCTCCATCAGAAGTATGCAGACGTCTGGTTCATGAGCAGCTTTTGTCAGAAAGTATTTTGTCGACAGTTTCATTATTTTTCTTCTCGTGTCCATCAGGAAATCTCTTGAAGAGGTGCTTACTTTATCAGACCTCCTACACTCGAACGTCATCCGCTACTTCACATGTTGGACAGAAGATTCAGGATACCAGTGGAAGGATTTAGTTGGCAGGGGCAGCACTTTCCTGTAAGTCTCATGCAAACAACCTCATCTTCAGTTTTTAATTTCAGATTAAAAGACAGTAACGTAATCTTCTCATTTTACAGGTCGGCAAACAACTCAAAGTTCCTCTACATTCAGATGGAGTTATGTGAAACCAAAACCCTGGAGGACTGGATTCAAGAGAAGAACACTGAGTCTCTGACAGACTTAGAGAGAAGAGAACAAAGTCTCCACATCGCTGATCAAATATTCAGTGGAGTCGAGTACATTCATTTCATGAAGAGAATCCACAGGGACCTGAAGGTAACACCTCACTCAGTGCAGCTGTGTTCAGCTGAGACAAAGCTGAAGAGTTGTTAGAGTGAAAAAATGAGAGTCTGCTGAGAGTTGGTGGTAACTGCGCCACAGTTTTAATGAGAGAGGTCATGCTCACATGCTCATGACTATTATTAATATAACCCGAGGTTAAATCAGTCCAGAGCTCCATTAGCATGAGAGTGCTCCATGTAGAGGAAAGCTGCAGAGAGCTTCTCTCCACACTCAACAAGAGCAAACTAGACCTGAGGTTAAATGATGAGCACGTTTTGGAGCGATTAGCGACTGCGATCCATTCTAACACTTCTTGTAAATGATACCAGCAGCTATCTGATATTTATTTAGCAGTGTAGTAGCAGCACCACTCCGACATCTGTCCTGACACAGTGTTTGGTTTTCATTGCACAGCGTAGCACCCTAAGAAAGATCCTCCTGCAAACTAGAGGCAAAGACTCTTAATCCATCAGTTATCTAATAAAATCTTTGAGTACACACAGGTTCCTTTTTCTAACATCTGTTTTTGTTTTTTACCGGTTAGCCTGCAAACATCCTGTTTGGCCTGGAGGGACAGGTGAAGATCGGGGACTTTGGTCTGGTCACCAGAGATGATCTTTTGAACAAAACAACATATGCAGGAACCCCCAATTACATGGCCCCTGAACAAGTGAGCTGGTCTGAGATCGTAGTGACTGGAGCTTGAACTAGAAGCTGAAGCTTTGAGCGATAACATCAGACTATTAAAGCTGCATCATATTTTTCTCCATCACAGAAAACTGGGCAGACCTATAATCGAAAGGTGGACATATATGCTCTGGGTTTGGTTTTCTTGGAACTCCTGTGGAAACTCCCGACTGGCCACGAAAGAGCAGAGGTGAGTGTTTCATATGACAGTGTGTCGTTTTCTGATTACAGAAAAACTTATGTATAAGCTAACTGGAGCTAACTGGAGCTAACTGGAGCTAACTGGAGCTAACTGGAGCTAACTGGAGCTAACTGGAGCTAACTGGAGAAAGAAGAACAGAGAGATGATAATCAAAGTTCACTTTGCTCCGACATGTAATCAGTCTCTCTCTCTCTGAATCTCACGATTAACTATTGAAATTCAGCATTTAATCGCAACACCAGCTCCTGTAATGTGTAGTATGAGTTTACTGTTTTTATTGGTAACATTGAACGCAGCATAATATGAATATTTAGTAACGTTCAAGCCGTCTAACCTGTTTTGTTTTTGTCCTTCTTCTTTCCCTACATGAACATCAGGTGTTTGAAAAGGCCAAGCGCCAGAAGTTTCCCCCTGAGTTTACTGGACGTTTCCTCTCAGAGGTAGATCGCAATGTTCTTCTAGTCCAAAATCAAAACCAGAATAAGTCCCACTGCACAAAGTGTTGATGTCTTTACATTTAGCCTCCAAAAGGCGTGCTCAGCGGCACATCGTCAGGTTAGCTTCTGTGACCCCTGATTGGCTGTTCTGAGAAGACGTGAAAAAGCATGTTTTAGTTCAATATTTGTAATAGAGCTCAACAGTGTCGTTCTGGAAGTAAAAATCCCATTCATTTTCTCCATAGTGGATTTGATGATTAGCGATGATGTCATAAACCACCACAGGTAGACTGACCACGAGCTCCCTGAGTGTGAGACGATGGTTTAAGCTCCTGTAGGAGACACGGGTTCGTCTGACATCAACCTTAAAGAGAAACATGGTTTATTTATGATATCGGGGAGAAGAACTACACTACCCATGACCATAGAGTGTCACAGCACTGTCTCTGATTGGTGGAGCTACCTGTTACCATGGCAATGTTTCCTGCCCCTCGGCACTGCATGCAAACAGATAGTTATGCTTGCAGGCCTAACAGTATAAACACGACTAAAGTTACACTGAAGAACAGGGATAATTCGCAATGCATTGTGGGATATGTAGTCCCTCGACTCAGGAAGAAAACTATCCATATAGTCTTGTACCTTTGCCTTCTTCTCCGTTTTAAAGCTGTTTTGGCGCCAAATCAAATACTGTCTACTATAGTCATGGGTATAGGGGTAGCTTGTTGTCATGGTTACAGGCTGAGGTCTCTTGACGACGTAGGATTTGAACGGGGAAATTTACTTCCTGAACCAGGTGCGCCGAAAAAGAGGGCAGTCACTGTTGAGCTCTTTTGTCTCATCAGCAGGTTTTATTTATTTTTATTCCGCAGGTTCAAATCATCAAGTCGATGCTGAGCGAGAAGCCAGAGGAGCGACCTGAAGCGAGCGAGGTGAGAGCCAAGCTGAAGCGGCGAGCTGAGAGAAGGCTGCAGGAGGACATGACGGTTTGAATATCCAAGAAGAACGTTTGATTTGCACATTTCTCTTTCCTTTCGCTGATGGCTTGAGATGATTTGAGGCGCTGCCTCGTGGTGGTGGGCGGATCTGAAATTAAAATGATTTGATTGGATCTGGAGTCCAGACTTTGAGGACTCATGACTCAACGTTACCTGGACCTGGTTGTCATGACTACACACATGACTGCAGACTTGGACGTTGAGAGCTTTTAAAATTTGATGTGTGATTTTTTAATGCATTGAACGCCACTTATACAGGCGTGAGACATAAAGGTGGAGGTTTGTTTACCTTGTGAATTCTTTTAATCCCACTTGTTGTTTGTGATCCTCTGTCAGTGTATCCATTGTCCCGTCTTCAACACGTGATGTTTGGCTGCTGTTTCAGAAAGCAGCTTCAGTTCACACTCTGAGTCCGTTCACCCTGAAAAGAGGGGGACTCTGGGTTTTCTGTTTCAGTACGGGAGGTCACTGAAACCCGAGAAAGAGGGGTCACTTAGGGTGGTTTCACATTAGGGATCCGCTAGACCCCAAAGTCCAGTTTATTTAATCAGTGTGAACACAAACATACTGTACTCGGGTACCATGCCTGAGTCCGCTTGAAGAGGGGGTCTCGGGTTAGATTCATGTGTACTCGAGTACGGTCTGATGAGATTTGTGCTCAAACCAGGAAGTGGACCGCTATAAGAGGTCATTCTAAATGGCCCCTATCGCTTTACAAGCTGTGGCCCCCACGAGAGCTCAGAGTCAGACTGAGAGTTTGCTGAACCTGCTTTCTGAATCCCCCCCCTCCCCCCGGTCTCTGGATGACTTTAAGTGTTTAAATTCAGATTAAATAGAATAAAATAACCTTCTTTTATGTCAACATGAAATCATGAACTGTTTATCAAACTTTTTAAAAAGTGACTTTTCCCTGAATTCGTCATCAGCAGACTTTTGAATCATTGCTGGAAGTGTTTTGATCTTTTTACATCCTTGGGTTAATAAAATAAAGGTTCAAAGGGTAAAGTGTCTCGTTTCTGTATGTGTATATCGGTCTATGTGCAGGTCAGTCACTTCATGAAATAAGAGACCAACAGGGTTCCCCGTGCACAGGAAGTCGACCTCCTCAGAGGCTGGTCGGTTGCAGGAACATTCAGTGACAAAATAATAGACTGTCTGTATCCGAATTGCCAATTACCTACTCAATCTGTCAGTATGCAGTACGTACTATCTGCTGTATACTGTTAGTACCTACTCTTCAGTATGCACACACAGTAGGCAGATATTTGTTCCTACTTCTTCTGATTCATTCAGTGAGGAAGTGACGTCATTTACGTTTCCCAAACCGGCCGCATCCACCCGTTTTTTGTTTTGTTTTGTTTATCTTTATTCAAGAAGAGTAATGCTCATATACAGTCAGGTAAACAACAAACAATATCACAATGTAAATCAAGTAAAAGATTAAATAACTAAATAACATCCAGTACATAAAGAACAAATGAAAGACAGTAATATACAGAATATAAAATAAACCAATGAAGACACATTTAAATAGTGAAATCATTATTTAAATAGTGACATCATTATTTAAAGAGTGACATCATTATTTAAATAGTGAAATCATTATTTAAATAGAGAAATCATTATTTAAATAGTTAAATCATTATTTAAATAGTGACATCATTATTTAAATAGTGACATCATTATTTAAATAGTGACATCATTATTTAAAGAGTGACATCATTATTTAAATAGTGAAATCATTATTTAAATAGTGAAATCATTATTTAAATAGTGACATCATTATTTAAATAGTGAACTCATTATTTAAATAGAGAAATCATTATTTAAATAGTTAAAATCATTATTTAAATAGTGAAATCATTATTTAAATAGTGAAATCATTATTTAAATAGTGACATCATTATTTAAATAGTGACATCATTATTTAAATAGTGACATCATTATTTAAATAGTGAACTCATTATTTAAATAGAGGGAGAAAGGTTTTATAATAATGCAGATATTTGTTATATTTTCTGTTGTTAATTTAAAGTAGTGATTTCAGTCGGGACTTTAACTCTAGATTAAACATTTATTAAATTAATCCACGCTCATTTGTTTTGATTTGGAGGCGGATGTGACGATTTACGTTTAATTTTGCACAGCATTGTGGGTAAAATACAATTCATTTCCTGAAAGCACGCATCTGATCCATACTGCATAAAACCAGGAAGTTAGTATCCATACTGAAATGTTCAGTATACTGAGGTGGACCCAAAAAATGTATACTGAATGACCACGAGGGTTCAGTATACTGAAACTACATACTGAAAAGTACTGACTACTGAACTGTGGATATTCAGTTACGGCCTCTGACTTTAAAGTGAGCGAACAACACGCTCTGTAGCTTCCTCCTAGTCGTAGTGAGACACGTTGTTCACTCACCATAAAGTGACAGTAAAGTTTATTCATTTTATTTAATTCATATGGTAGCAGGTTTAGCTGAATGTTTGTGTTTTATATATGTTGCATGGACATGTTGAGAGGGTTTGCTCTTTAGGGTAGGGTTAGGGTAACCCTCAGGAGCATCTGTAACTCTGACCCCTAATGTTTAAAATGGGTACTGCAGTCTAAATTCTAAACATCATAGAGAGCTGTCTCCCCCCCCCTCCTCTCTAGAGTGGATGCTCACTCAGGTCACCATGTGGTGGACTCTGAAGCTTCAGTGTTTATCCAGCTCTGCATGGGTCTGTAAACCTTTCTGTGTTCTAACCTCTCTCCATTTTTCAAAAGCATCTCCAATATTGATCCTAGTTTGAGCACGTTTCTGCTCGTGGAGCTTATTAGAAACATGCAGAGGCTTTTTAGGTCGGGTACAATCACTTCTATCTGAACCACTTCTCTTGACCGCTTCCATCGCTGCAACACCTGTTGACCTGATAACTGCTCTCATATCTGACAAACCGAGGGGCGTCCAAAACGGCTGTGTCTTAAAAGCGCCTACCTTCTCTGGTCCAAACAAATCCAGAGCATTCAGGAGCAGAATCTAAAGTTAGAAGGAGGACATACTGGCTGCTGCATTGTTGTCAGAGAAGCCAGCACTTTGTAGCATGTGGGCTAATTTTGTATTCAAGTCAAATTTAAATTAGGAAGAAATAAGGTAGGTCTCTCGGAGCTCAAATGTGAATACCAACAAAATCCAAACACAGGTAAATTTAAATAATAATTATTGTATTTCACAAAAAAAAAAAAACTTCCAATATAACAAAATAATAAGTTCAAACAACCAACATAAATATCCTCTTAATCAAAAAACGCTTCTTGGGTCCATCAAAAACCAAAAAAACCCCAAAAACAGTCAATGTCTTTCGATCCGTGTTCGAATGTCTTTAGAGATCCTACCAACTTGTAGCAGGGTAGATCTCGTAGGTGTTAGATCTTACCAACTTGTAGCAGGGTAGATCTCGTAGGTGTTAGATCTTACCAACTTGTAGCAGGGTAGATCTCGTAGGTGTTAGATCTTACCAACTTGTAGCAGGGTAGATCTCGTAGGTGTTAGATCTTACCAACTTGTAGCAGGGTAGATCTCGTAGGTGTTAGATCTTACCAACTTGTAGCAGGGTAGATCTCGTAGGTGTTAGATCTTACCAACTTGTAGGCAGGGTAGATCTCGTAGGTGTTAGATTTTACCAACTTGTAGCAGGGTAGATCTCGTAGGTGTTAGATCTTACCAACTTGTAGCAGGGTAGATCTCGTAGGTGTTAGATCTTACCAACTTGTAGCAGGGTAGATCTCGTAGGTGTTAGCTCGCCATCTCCACGCTGTAAGGTTCATACACTAAAACCTGACCTATAAAAAAAAAGGTCATGAACAGTGAGTCCATTCATTGTGCATTCATTGAAATATTCATTATCGGGCCTCATTGAAAACCCCATTACTTAAACATCACACAACATAAATATACCTTTAACTTTAGGCTCGGATTACTTTATGAAATCCCGCAGTGTAATCAAATGAAAAGAAATACATGCCAAGGTTTCTAATGACCTGGCCGTGGCTTAAAGTGGGGGTTTTCCCCAAGGGGATTCTGCATAACAACCACCCACATTTATCACTCATCTAACATAAAAAAATATACAATATACAACATATAACTCACCGCTGTGTAAATCATAAACTCATCCCGCCTTGGGCAACCAAACAATTCTGCTTCTGTAGCATGCGATGAGGTGAGGGGAAGTGACCTCGTGAACCGGATGTTTATAACAGGTGGGAGGAGTTCTGATAGGTTGAGGATTTTAGTGGAGTTTAAGTGAGGTTATGGAATGTTTTAGACAAATAAAATAGGGAAATAAATAAATACAAAATAAAATGAAAACCAATTATTCTTAAGTTATGGAGGTTCACTGAGGTCACTCCCCTCTCAAAAGAAAAAAAATCGAGGGCTAATATTTAATTCAATTTAATTAACCTGGGTTACAACTTCAACATAGCATGTTTCCTTAATGTCTGATCAGAGAGTAAGATACATTTATAATTTCACTCTCTACACAGCTCACTGATTGGACCTTTCAGATGAGTAGGAGATAAATTAAAGTGATCCATTAAAACTGAATCAGATGTATTTAGTAAAAAGTAAAAATGATGTCATCAGTGATAATCCTGTAACAATGATGTACATTTAGCCTCAGTTTGGGATGATGACTTTCTGGATTGTTTTTGTACTTTAGAGTGTAACCAGCAGGGGGAGCTGTGGCTCTGTGTAGCTGCAGCTTCCAGGCCTGCTCACTCTGTGGGTGAGAGGTTTATTCACAGGAGAAGAGAGCTGTGTTTGCAGCTCTGTGGAGAACAACAGTAAGAAGTCCAGGATCCTCCTCAGTCACACAGACTCTGCTCATTAGCGACACTTAGCTCAGCATGCTAACTCAAGGAGCATCACAATGTAGAGCCTGGTGCCCTCACTTACCTGTTATACCTCACTTAATTGTTATACTATCAAGGATGAAGTCATCCAGCATGCTTCAGTCCCTGTTTTTTAAGGGGAAAAGATCAGAACTGAGAGGTTCAGTTTTTGAGGCTGTAAAAGGGAAATGAAGCTTTGATTGACAGCTCTGTGGACCAATGAGGCCCATAATAACAATAACACTCAACACCTGTCCACAGGAGGCTTTAGAAAGGAAAACTATTAAGATACAGAGAAACAGAGAAACCATGAGGCAGAGCAGAGAGGAAAGGGTGAAAGGAAACTTAACACACACGAGTGGTTAAACTTTCCATAACGGTGAGTGTCTGCTTTACTTGACTTTTGGGGCATTTTAACCAGCAGAGCAACAATGCTGAACTTCATTTTACCCTGGAGATAAATAAAGTGTGCACGGTGTGGTTACTCATCATGTTTAAGAATGATTGAACTTCTTTTGTGTTTCCTCTGAAAGTATGATTAAGATGTTGACTGCATGAGAAAGCTGTGTCATCGGGGCAGAGTCTCAGATCAGGACCTGGTTGTGTGAGTTCTGGGATGTATTGAGGTCACTTCCTCTGAGAGCAGTGTGGTGCGCTGAAGCAGGGCTCTGGTCAGCGACCTGCACCGTGTAGCTGCAGGTAAAATGGAGTCCCCAGTGAGGAGCTCAGCAGCTGAGAGTCTCCCCTTAAAGCCCCTGAGTGTGCGTTCACAGACGCAGACGCTTTATTCTGCTCCGTGTGTTTCAGACGTCGACCTCGCCCAGCGGCACTCATCAGAATCAAACTGACAGCTGAGGACGCACGTGAGCTGTCAGTTTGTGTTTTTCTCCTCCCAGTCTGTGCATACATTTCAGAAGTTTCCAGTCACCGCCACAGGACACTTCCTGT